TGAAGCTGCTAAGGGAAAAATGCTGTATTCAATTTCATGGTCACATGCATCTAGTAGCTTGAAATTTCAAGGAAACACAATACCCACTTCAACCTCCTCGCAGAAGGCCAAACTACAGCATCATACCTGGCTTTCCCTGCCCAAATCGTCCCATTTATCAGCTTGTCACGTTAGGCTGAGATCCCGGCTCCAATCCCAGAAGACATGCCAGACCAACTTCCCTTTATTGCTATCTAGAACTAGCGTTTCTCTAGAACAGAAATCTACTGCCCTTCAATGTGGCATTTCATCGAATAGTTACAGTACTAACGATGGGAGGAGTTCTAGGGGCTGGATTGAGTGGTTTGGTGATGTGATTTCGAATGCATTTCCCTTATGGGTATCTTTTGGTTGCCTGTTGGGGCTGGTCAGCCCTAGTTATTTCAGTTGGGTCACGCAAAGATGGACAATTGTTGGCCTTAGTCTTATCATGCTTGGTATGGGCATGACTCTGACTTTTGATGATCTTCGTGGTGCTATTGCCATGCCTAAGGAGTTGATGATCGGTTTCGTGCTTCAATACTCGGTTAGTGATTCTTTCTTTTCAGTTTTATGTTGACATAGTTATGACATTTGATGGCCTGCATTGATCTTTATGATTTTTTCCCCTGATTTCGTTGTTGCTTTTTAACAGCGTTGCAGCTAGTGTAGTTTGACTAGTTAATGAATATGGATATCCTCTGGTTGTTAAAATTATTGGTTCTTGTATAGGTTGAGAGGTCTTTGATGATTTGTGTTTTAGTGTGATAAGTGTCTGTTTGTAAATGGACAATTTTGATTACTCCGCACTAATTGTTCATTATAAGACATGTTAAATACAATTCTAAAAATCATCACACACTATGAAATAGGATGTATGATTTCAAAAATAAAATTTATAATTAACATTTTATCCAAAAAAATGAAATGTAGTAGGGCTTATTTCAATGTAATGAGCATTATCAATATTAGGCCTACAGGGTCATACTTTTAAATTAGTTGATGGTTTACTGTTGAACGATGTGATTACCTTAAGTTCTCTTTGAATAATTCATACCTTCACTCTTGGATTGATAAGATGAAAATATTCAATAATAAAAAATTTTAATTAATGCATATAAAACAGAGCAGAATGTCATGAAAAAATATCAGAAACAGACAAATTAAAATATTCATATATAAAGCCATACACCTTTTGTGTTATTGCATGCAATATCTAGGGAGTATTTATAATGTCAATGCTCTGCATGCACATCTATGGAAAAAAAAAAAGATGGATTTCTTGATATTTTGGAGCTTTTTCTCAATATAAAGCAGATATATTTATAGATACTGCCATCTAATACTAAGCAAAACTGCCTCAACTAGTTGAACATTAAATAGTTCTTAATGAGGGGACAATGGATGATTGGTCATAGGTGATGTCGATGTCAGGATTTCTAATCAGCAAGCTCTTAAGCCTCCCCTCTCATTACGCAGCTGGTTTAATTTTGGTTGGTTGCTGTCCTGGTGGTAAGAATATCATCAGTTATTCTCTGTACATGCACTTGAACTCTTTATCCTTGTCTGCTCCTTTACGGTCTTGTATTCATTGGCTCATTGCCTGCAGGCACAGCAAGTAATATTGTGACTTATATTGCAAGGTATGTAAACGATACTTGCAGTCATTGTTATTATGGATGCAGTAGCCAGAAGATCTAATAGTCTCTCTCTTTCAGAGGAAATGTAGCACTATCGGTGTTGATGACAGCTGCAAGCACTATCTCAGCTGTGGTTGGTAAACTAATATTTAAACACATTTTCTTTGTAGTGGTCTCTTTGAAACTTGTTTCAGCGATCCTCATCATGCTCCTCTGATGGGATCTGCATATGGTGCAATTTTGTGATTGAGAGCCACTGTAATTTGAGGGAGTGCTGAATTATTATTTCTAAGAATTTGGATATGACAATTAGGGTATGAGTTTCTGTAACTTGTAATTTTGAACACCTCTATCCTGTGGGCTATAAGGCATGCTGCAAAGCCCATTTCAGAAGGTGATCAATTATTTGGTTTTTCATTGGCTGGTGAAAAGATGTGTGAAACATCAACTCCTTACTTCTTATAAGGGTGTGACTTATAATGGGTGAGAACAACTGGTCACTATGCACCCCCCCCACCCCCAGGAGCCCAAGAAAAAAGGAGAGATGAGAATACCATAATCCTATGAATTTATATCATCTTCATAATGTCAAATAATTCTTGCATCTCTCATTTCAACTGCAGATCATGACCCCCTTTCTCACTGCCAAACTTGCTGGGCAGTATGCTGCAGTAGATGCAGCTGGGCTGGTAGTCTCAACACTGCAGGTGAAGTCTCCTTCCATGCTGCTGCTTCACTGCTTCCATATATAGTATGTAGTTTTTATGTTTAGCACTATCAATGACGTCTCCTGCAGGTGGTGCTTCTTCCTGTCCTAGTTGGTGCATTTCTAAATCACTATTTTCAAGGTCTAGTTAAATTTGTCTCTCCCTTGATGCCACCCCTTGCTGTGGGAACTGTTGCTGTTTTATGTGGGCATGCAATTGCACAGAGTGCTTCTGCAATCCTTGTAGCTGGTAGACTAGTCATACTGGCTTCAGCTCTTCTTCATGCATCTGGATTTTTCTTTGGCTATGTATTTTCTCGGTTGCTTGGGCTCGACATAGCATCATCAAGAACCATCTCCATAGAGGTTGGCATGCAGGTACAAGTATTTCATGCCATTTTGATTTTTGTGGAATGTCAACTTGTTGATCCCTGTGGAACTTCTGATCCTGATAGCAATCAACTTATGTATACCTAGGACTTTAAAAATGTCGCATTTATTCGAGGCAAGGAATAACCAACTTCTCTTTTGTCATAGTGTTGGCTTGATTCCTTTTATTATTTCCATATATAAAATGAAGCTTCATTCCTTACAGACTTTGTTCTTGTTTCAGAACTCAGCTCTTGGACTGGTTCTTGCTAATCAGCACTTCAGTAATCCACTGACTGCTGTGCCTTGTGCTGTTTCCAGTATTTTACAATCAATCTTGGGTAGTGGTTTAGCAGGAATATGGAGACGTAACTCACCCGAGGAGAAGCAGGGTTGAAATTTTGTCAGTTCCTGTTAATACTCTACTTTCTCATGTCCTCTCGTGTAGTTCTGAGGATTGTGTCATTTGCTTATCAAGTAGCCTACTAGAATAAAAATTGAGTCTTGGCACTATAGTCATTAACTCATATTGTCCATGAGATGCAGGATTACCCTGGTATCAAAAATAAAAAAGGCAGAGGTCCAAAGCAGAACTGCTGCAAGACTCAATGGCCGACAGTTCATGGTTAAAGGCTGAACTTCTGTCAGTGTAAACCATTGTGTTCTTTGTTTTCCGGTAGAAGATGATGTGAAGGTCTCAAGTGAACAAATTCTGTAAATCAGATTATAAAATACTTCTGGGCCTCTTTTCAATTCTCAATGTTTTATGGGGGATAAAATAAAACAATTCCATCAGGCTTGTAGCTAATAGAGAAACTAAAGTTTCTACTGTTTTAAAATAAGTCCCTCACATTTTATTCTCCTGTTCTACCCTAAAGGGAGAAGATAATAGACTATGCCTTTCACATTATAGCTTTTCTTTTTGGATGATAAATTAAATAGTGTATAAAAAAACCCAAATTCAAAACCAGCAGGTGCTCTTTAACTATTAAATTAATAAAGAAATGTTTAAATTGAATAGAAGAAGGAAAATTAAGATATTTTATCATTAAAAATATTAGGACATCAAATTATATTTACATGATTGTTAATATAAAAATAGTAAATAAATAGATAGACATAAGATTTACCTGAAAAATCCTAATTAGGGAAAAATCACTCAAAGTGAGAGTACTTAATTCTACTGTGCCAATACTAAGTACAATGTTCTTTTTTTTTTTTTGGTAATTATACTAAGTACAATGTTTCTAAGTACTAACTGTCCCTTACAATTTCCCTAAGGCTACTATTTATAGTGTTAGGTTTCCTATCCTTACTATACTAGGAAACCTTACTACTTGCTGTAAATGGACTAGCCCATCTTC